GTTGGATCACATTCCCCGATTTCCGAAATCCGCGCATACAGATCCGCATGGGTAATGGATGCTTCCAGGTCGCGTAGGCGCAGTTCACCCATTTTTTCTGGGCGTGATATGACCACATCCGCGTTCTCCTCCGTGAGGTCTGCAAACAGCTGGGCCAAATCATTGGCCTTGGAGACTCCTGCTTCCCCACCTGGGATTTCCAAAAGTAGCGCACCCGTGCGTGCCTTTCTAGGTCTTAGCTCCAAGATGCCCAGAGCAGAGATATCGATTTTGTCCCTGGCCAGCTTCATCACTTGAGCGTAGCTAGCCTCACCACGGCAGCTGATCTGTACTACAGCTGACCGCGGCGGCCTTCTGCTCCTGGCCTTGGTATCGTCCCGCTGTGGACCCCTCGGTCCGCCTTCACGAGATTGCGTCCTTTCTGCTTCCTTTTCCAAGAAACGTTGTTTCCTTCCCTCTTTGCGGCCTACTACCTTGGACTATTGTTCGTTTAATTTGGTTGCTTCCACGGTAGATGCAGGGTGCTCCGCTCTCTCGGCCATCCTTCCGCCATTTCTGGCCGACCTAGACCGTGGCCTGGTCTTTCTCCTCATTTTGCTGTTGTCCCTTTTAAACAGTGGCGGACCCACGTCCGCTCTAGGGGGGCGACCAGTCGGCGCCACCTTATCAGGTGCATCCTGTTCTCGCGGGTCAAGCATGTTGCCGAATTCCCTCCGCATTACCTCAGTAACGATCTTGTAGATCATGGCGGGAAGGTCCTCGGCATTGCTGGATTTCTCGTCGGGCCGCGAGGTCTCCCTCGTCGTATTCCTCTGTCTTCTAGTGTTCTTTTCCACATTTTTATACTTCTGTGTTCGAATGACGATCCTCCCCGAACTATCGGCGACCTTGTAGTTGAGCTGAACCGGTCTGTCCTCAAGTACCAGTCGCTTGCCCCCAAGTGCGGGACGAAGCGCCGGGGGCATTTGTTCGGCTGTGGCAACACCACTTTCTGCTTCGCCTGCTTCGGTGGGTCTACCTCCATCGCCTCAGCAGGTTGCACAGTGCTCTGTCGAACACTGGCTCTAGTGACCGGCTTTTGTTTCGCCAGCCACGCCTCCTTTTCTCTTTGGAGGGATTGTAGCTCGACTTTGTACCTAGTCGCCTCCCCGGAAAATTCGATGTTTTTCCTCTTCTCTCTTTTGAGGTCTAAGGCGGTATTTCTACGGATGTCGTTGATTTCTCTTCGTAACGACGCGATTTCTTCGGATTGCGTGGCAAAGCCGCCACTCTTTTCCGCCCTGTCTTTTAAGACTTCCGTGCCTCCTATCGCAGAGGCTGCCACCAGCTTCAATGTTTTTTGGTAAGTGCCTTTGAGGTGAGAAGAAGTTTGGGCAATTCTAATCACCTCCATTAGGCCATCGTGCACTTCCTTGACCAGGTCCTCGGTCGGCATCCTCTCAGCCTCCTCCCTAGCCTTCTCGAAATTAATTCGAGACTTTTTGAGGAGGTCCCTGTCACCTAACTTGCGGATCGTCTCCTCCCTTGCAAGCTGAAGTAATCTTGTTTTTTCTTCATTGGCTGCCCTCATCACTTCTCGGCAGCCAATATACATCCCTGTTGTGCGGTATTGCCTCTTTTGTCCGGTGATAGAGATACCGGCTTCCACAGCACTCACCTTTTCCGGCGGAGATCCGTCAGAGCGCAACATTGCCGCCGGTGTGGTAGATTCTTCGTTGGTGGTAGTGGAGGAGCTAGACACAACGACCGGTGTGCGTCTGGTTCTTCGGGGCGGCTTCCAACATCCAGTCCTGTAGCCCTTGTCTTAGGGCGTGGTTTTCTAAAGAAGGAGGGATCTTTCTCTTCTTTACTTCCCTCGCTCGAGTCCTCGTCAGAGGCCGAGCTTGCTTCCTTCTTACTACTCCCTTCTTTGTCACTGTCTCTTGCAGCAGAGCCTTCACTAGCCTCATTGCCGGTGTCGGCTCCACCTGGGAGTCGGGGGGCTATTGGCTTCTCCTTACTGTTGGCTTTATCGCTGTCGAAAAGTTTGGAGATCGACTCGGTATTCGTGGTGGTGGTCGATTTAATCTCCACTTCCGAATCTTCTAGGATGTTCTCCGACTTTGATGTGTCGCCTTCCTCGTTGGCATACATCGTCGTTTTTTCATCAGCCGGGACCAGGCCTAGTGCAGAGAGGTGGTCTCCATCTACTACTGTAAGAGAGGTCTCGTAATACTCCCCCTCTTCCTCTGAGTTCTCCACTGGAGAGAACTCTTCCAGTCGGAGGCTCGTATCCGAGTTCCTCTCTTCTTCGGATTCGCTCCGAGATGACCGGCTCGAATCCTCTTCCATCTCCTGGTTCTTCGCAGGCGCTCTTTGTGACGTGGGCGGGCCTGCGGTGCACCCGCCCACGCGCCTGTCGCTCGATACTCGACACGGGTTTTCCGGACGCCCCCCCCCCCCCTGCGCCGGTAGCTGCCGGTTCTGACTCCGGCTGCTAACGTAAGAGTCTTTCTATATTTCTCCATGTATCGTCATTAAGAGGTTTTGGGGGGCTATTTTACAAGCGGCCCCCCACACCGGGTTACGTTTTCCTTCGATTAAAAACATGAGCAGGGGAATAACCAGTGCAATGGGATCAGAAACTGATCCCGCTGGTGACTCCCCTGCTCGACCACCAGGCTGTTGAGTCCTCTGTGCAATGGAGGTTTTACCCCCCAGAGGACTCCCATCCCGGGATGTCTGGCCGCCCCACAGGAGCGACCTGAACACCCGCTAGGGACACTGCGCCGTGCAATGGCCCGAGGGCCTGGCTAGCACTCTAGCCCTGGATCTTCGTGCGATGGGTTTTCCCCCTGAGGATCCCTTTGGCCACACCGGGATCCGTGTGCCACACCCGCCATCAGGAGCACCCAATGGCCGGGCAGCACGCCTGCGGGAGCACCCGCGTCGATCCTTTCGCTTGCGGAGCCCCGAGGGAACCACCCCATCCCCACAAGGGGGGAAGGGGAGGGCCCCACGGGAACCCCGCTCGCAGTGGGGGTCGAAACCCCACAACACGCACGGGCAGGGAGCAAACCTCCCCCTTTCGGCGCCGTGCCACCGGACGTTTGCAGTCGGGGTCGCCATCCCCTACCGGCACATTGGGGGGCCACTCCGAAGAGCGGGCCCCCTTGGGGTGCCGGACCCAGTGTACAGAGTCCTCCTATTTAATGGAGAACTCCGTACGGGGCGCGTTAGACCCCCAAGGCATCCCTTGGGGGAGCCCCCTCGCCGCAGCAAGGCCGCGCCCCATGAGAGGATACATGCTGTAGTCTTTTTTTTTGTGACGCAGGGGAAATGCGTTACGCATCTCCGTCTCCCTCGGGGGAGGGAGGCGGGGTATGTGGGACTCTCTCCTCGGAACTGCGGTTCTAAGGAGCCTACCCACTGAAACCCCTGCGGGCGTACCTAACCCGAGACGATTGGGACCCATCCGGGAGTTTCACAGCTGTAGTACATCCGGATGGGTCCCCGTGTTAGTTCTATTGGAACCTAACTTGTATTTACATGAGGGTGCGAAGACGCCGGCGACGCACCCTCCCTTTCCCGGTTACCCATCCCGTGGGGACTCGGGGCCCCCGCCCCGGGTCCCATGGGTCTTCCCAATGAGCCGTTTCGTCGGCTCAGCCTCATTGCCCTAACCTTTATTCCTGAGACCAGTCACCCTGCTAATCAGTGTGACCGTCAGTCTCCTCTTAATGATATCACATTTAGGGCCATGGCGGGAGGCATCTAAGTTAAAGATGGAGAAGACACCCCCCCCCCCCTGGTTTCAGAGCTACTGCCTGATTTCTATTAGGCAGAGCCCCTCACCGACCCGCTAATCGGTGCGGTGGCCCCACCTATTCCTGGTATTCTCTCGCCCGCATTATACCGTTCCCCCTCCCATGTTCGCCCTTTGAATCTGGGGGATGATCCCCCTTTCCCGTTCTCTTTCTCTTGTCTCCTTTATCATTACTGCCTCGCAGAATTCTAAAAAGGCGCATCTATCTTCTTTTCTCAGGGCCGTGACCACGGCACTATATGTGAGATCTAGGCCTATTACCTCCGTCAGTGCTCTCCTTTCCTCAGCCCATGTTGGACAGTATCGCAGGGTGTGCCTGGAAGAGTCGTTGTCCACTCCATAGAACCAGCATTCGGGCGTGAGCTCCCTCCCGATGCGACACAGGTACCTTCCGAAACACCCGTGTCCCGTACATGCTGTAGTCTTTTTTTTGTGACGCAGGGGAAATGCGTTACGCATCCCCGCCTCCCTCGGGGGAGGGTAGCGGGGTATGTGGGACACTCTCCTCGGAACTGCTGTCCCGAGGAGCCTACCCACTAAAACCCCTGCGGGCCTACCTAACCCGAACATTTGGGGTCCATCCGGGGATTTCACATCTGTAGTACTTCCGGATGGACCCCTGTACCTATACGTTTCCACGTATCCTACTTCTATGTACATGAGGGTGTGCAGACGCCGGCTACACACCCTCCATTTCCCTTGGCCCTTCTAGTGGGAGCTGTGGTCCCCCGTCCATAGCTCCGTGGGCCCTCCCTTCGAAGGGTCAAGTAAGCCTTGACTCGGCCTTCGAGTATTCTTCCTACTTATACTATCTTTGAGACCGGGAACCCCGCTATTCGGTGTCCCCGTATGTCTCCTCCTGATCGCTTTTGTAGGCGTGAGGGCCGCGGGGAGGGTATGCTAAATTAAAGTTGGAGAAGCCCCCTCCCCGCGGATTCGATGCCCGTAATTACGCACATCTTACCGTCCTGCTATCCAGTACAGGTCATCCCTCCTATCTATACGGTACTTGTCCCCGCGTGACCTTATTCGCAAATCTAACTTACCGATGATTCCCTATACTAATCTAATTCTAGCTAATCTTACCGAATCCACGACGGGGACCTCCTAAATTCTATCTGTGAGTGTCTATATGACCCTTCCTATCTTTTCTCATGAGATCGCATGTTGTTGAGCCGGAGAGTTGGCTCTTTCCCTACGCCTCTCCGCTTTTTTGAGACATTACTTTCTCGCAAAATTCTAATACCGCTTTTCTCCCCTTTTCCTCTCTCAAAGCTCTAACTATTGCTTTGAGGGAGAGATCTATTCCTATGATCCTTTGCAACTCTGTTCGTTCGGTATCCCACGATGGACAGTATCCCAGAGTATGCCTAGCCGAATTATTTGGCGAGTCGCAATGCCAGCATCCTCGAGTGGCCTCCCTCCCGATCCGACACAGGTACCTCCCGAAGCATCCGTGCCCCGTGAGGACCTGCGTCACCCGGAAGGAGCGGCTCACTCCAGCGTTCAACCATTCCTTCAATTGTTCACCTACCGCGCTGATGATGGTGTCTTCCTCTTGGGTTGTTTCCTTCAACCACTTTTCCCAGTTTCTGATCATTTTCCTCTTCGAAGTTTCGTTGATCAGTCTACTTCATTTTTATTAACTGGAGTGCCTCTTTCTCTCAAGATAGAGACCCTCTCGTAAATTTCCTCGTAGCATATTGCCTCCAATTCCCATGGAGGAACTCCTGCCAGGACTGAGTTTACAGCGTGCGATGTTGTCCTATACGCTCTAATTATCCTACCTGTAATTCTACGTTGAACCCCTCTCAATATTTGAATAACCCTTCTGTTTTTATACACCTGATACGCCCATATTGGCACTCTATATAGTGCTATGGATTTGATGATATTCGTATATAATTTCCTAGCCCTGTCGTTTGGTCCCCCTAAGTTTGATAGTAGCCTGCTAAGACTGAGGGCTGATCCCTCCAGTCTTGGCGCTAATTCTGAGAAATGGTCCGTGAATGACCATCTACTATCTAAAGTTAATCCTAGATATCTCATTCTTTGGCCCACCGAGATCTCCATTCCTGCTATATTGATCAATGTACTCGCGGGTCTTCCTTTCACGTGGAATCCTACAATCTCAGTCTTAGATGGGGCTGCCTCTAGTCCCATTTCTTCGATCTTTTGTATCACTGCACCTGCTGTTATGTTGGCTTCCACGGTGGCGTCCTCCCAGTCATCACCGGATACCAAAATTAGCGTATCATCCGCATAACATATTATACATCCTTCTTCCTCTTTATCATCTTTCTTCATTATATCGTCAAATCCTACGTTCCATAGCAGTGGCCCTAAAATGGAACCCTGTGAGACTCCTCTTTTCACATCTCTTTCACCCATAGTTCCATCATTTCTGGGGTATGAGAGCTTCCTATCTTTTAAATAATCCCTGATTATCCTTCTCAAATATAACTGAACTTTATGTTTATTAAGTGCCTTTCTTATCAATCCCCATGACATGGAGTTAAAGGCATTTTTTGTATCCAATGATTTTCCTATTACCACCTTTCCATCTTCAAAAGCGTTATCCATGTATGCCTTTGCGGTTGAAATTGCATCTATTGTTGATCTCCCCCTTCTGAAGCCGAATTGTCTCTGATGCAAATTCGGTCCTCTGGTGTCCAAGTGGGAGATTATTCTTTCCGAAATGATTTTTTCAAGCATCTTCGCCTCATCGTCCAATAAGCATATTGGCCGATAACCGGCTGCCTGGTCGTCTGGCTTATTGTGCTTTCTAAGAAGTACTAATTTTGCCTTTTTCCACCTAGACGGGAACTTACCGGATTTAAGGCAAGCTGAGTATGTTTCCCTCAGTTCTTTGGCCATGTCCTTGGCCGCTATTGCCCATGCCTTTGCTGGTACTCCACTTGGCCCTGGGGCCGCGTCTTTTTCAGTCATCCTTTTTGCTGCCAGCATAAGTTCCTCTTGAGATACCTTCATTTCTTCCCTCCATGCCGTTTCTCCCTCGTTCGGTAGCCCTGGTTCCCTCCCGTTGTCCTCTCTCTCACCTGGGAAGAGCCCGGTAAGCACTCGATCCAAAGTCTCGCTGTTTAGCGATTCGGTGAAAGGCGGTGCCCATCTTCTTAGCTTATTCGTCACTGCCTTATAAGGGCGACCCCATGGGTCTTCATTTATAGTTAAAACGAATTCCTCCCATGTACATGCTGTAGTCTTTTTTTGTGACGCAGGGGAAATGCGTTACGCATCCCCGTCTCCCTCGGGGGAGAGAGACGGGGTATGTGGGACTCTCTCCCCGAGGTGAATCCCTCGGGGAGCCTACCCACTAAAACCCCTGCGGACGTGCCTAACCCGAAGCGAATGGGACCCATCCGGGAGTTTCGCAGCAGTAGTACATCCGGATGGGCCCCGCTTATCTACTAAATTGTAGCCTATCCCCTATTTACATGAGGGTGTGAGGACGCCGGCAACACACCCTCCTATCCTTTTCACCCATCTCGAGGGAACCTCGGCCCCCCGCCCTCGGTTCCATGGGTCTATCCCGTGAGGGTCAGACTTGGACTGGCTAGGCCTCACAGCTCTACTGGTTTTTCGTTAGTATTTGAGACCAGCCGACCCGCTATTCGGTTCGGCTGTATGTCTCCTTCTGACACCCCAGTTATACTGAGTTAGGGCCACGGGGAGGGGCATCTAAGTTAAAGATGGAGAAGGTATCCCTCCCCGTGGTTTCGAGGTTCCTATCACTAACCTCTCGCCGCCCCGCTACTCGGTGCAGCGACCCCTCCTACTCTACATGCTGTAGTCTTTTTTTTTGTGACGCAGGGGAAATGCGTTACGCATCCCCGTCTCCCCCGGGGGAGGGAGACGGAGTATGTGGGACTCTCTCCCCGAAACTGCTGTTCCGAGGAGCCTACCCACTAAAACCCCTGTGGGCGTACCTAACCCCAACGTTTGGGGTCCATCCGGGGATTTCGCATCTGTAGTACTTTCGGATGGACCCCTGTACTATACGCTAAAGCGTATCCTAACTCTATGTGCCTGAGGGTGAGTAGACGCCGGCTACCCACCCTCTCTTACCCTGCGCCCATCTCGAGGGGGTCATGAACCCCCGTCCATGACCCCATGGGCCTTCCCTCGAAGGACCAATGGGAGACCATTGGTTCGGCCTTCGAGCGCTTCCCTACTTATTTTTTACTTCCTGAGACAGATGTCCCCGCTAGTCGGTGACATCTTGTGTCTCCTCCTGTCTGCCTCGAAGGCACGTGGGCCGCGGGGAGGGTAGACTAGATTAGAGATGGAGAAGCCCCCTCCCCGCGGGATCGATGCCCGTCAACCGGACATCTGGCCGCCCCGCTAATCGGTTCGGCCGCCCCACCTATCACTGCGGGCCTCTAGTCCCTAGACAAACCTATACTCTATCTTGACTGTACTCTTTCCCCTCTCCTGCTTATTTCCCTATACCTCGGACCCTTGCTTGTTCTAGGCACGCTACTAACCCGCGCAGATAACGCTACTCTTCCCTGCTGGTCGGGTTGGGCTAATCCCAAACCCGGCCTTCCTGCCTAACGTTTTTTCGCCTTAGCTATTTACACCTTCTCTAGGCTTTTTGTAACTACCTAGCCTAGGTAGCCAGGTCCCCTCTCTCTCTCTCTCTGGCTCTCTCTGCTACTTCCTTTCTGGTCATGACTTCCTCACAGAAAGTCATAACCGCGTGTCTCTTTTCTTCTTGCAGCATGGCCCTTATAACTGCACCTAATGACAAATCTGCTCCGATTTTTCTCTTCAATTCTTCTCGTTCTGTGTCCCAGGCCGGACAGTAGCCTAGGGTGTGTCTCGCCGTATCATTTGGCGAGTCGCAGTGCCAACATCTATTTGATGTCTCCCTCCCGATCCGACACAGGAACCTCCCGAAGCACCCGTGCCCCGAGAGGATCTGCGTCGTCCGGAAGGTGAGACCCACCCTTTCGTCAACCCACTCTCTGAGTTGCACCTTGATGGCCCCCAGCACTGTCTCTCCTTCTTTTTCCATGCGGTCAATCCACATTCTCCATTGGCCAATGAGCTTTCTTTTGGCGGTCTCCCTTATTGTTTCGATCTCCTTCCTCTGTATAGGGTTTGTTTGCTGCCCTGCTTCTTCTGATGTTAGAGATTCTTTCATAAATCTCCTCGCTGCATACCGCTTCCAGCTCCAGTGGGGGAACTCCCGCCAGAGCTGTGTTGACGGCGAAGGAGGTGGTCTTGTAGGCCCTCACCAATCGACCCGTAATTCTCCGTTGGACCGCGCGTAGAGTTCTTATTATTTTGTTACTCTTGAGCATCTCGTTCGCCCATATTGGGGCTCCATATAGCGCCATGGATGTGATGACGTTGATATATAGTTTTCTCGCCTTTCGATTCGGGCCACCCAGGTTCGGCAGTAGCTTACTCAGGGCCAGAGCAGCTTTTTCCAATCTGGGTGATAGCCCCTCAAAGTAGGGCACGAATGTCCACCTGGTGTCCAAGGTGAGTCCAAGGTATTTCATCCTTGTTCCCACTAGGACCTCAACACCGGCCACGCTGATCGCCGTGTTCGCTGGCCTACCCCTTTCGCAGAAGCCGACCACTTCTGTCTTAAGCGGGGCTACTTCCAGCCCCATGTCCTGTATTCTTTGGACGATAGTTTCTACCGCCATTTCCGCCTCCATAGTGGCTTCCTCCCAGTCCTCACCTTTAGACAGTACCAGCGTATCATCGGCATAGCATAATACCGAGCAATCCAGATGAAGGTCTCCCCTTTTCATCGCCTCATTAAAACCGAGGTTCCATAGGAGAGGCCCTAGGATCCTTGGGGAACCCCTCTTCGCACCTCTTGCTCTCCCTTTCTGCGCCATGCTGTAGTCTTTTTTTTTTTGTGACGCAGGGGAAATGCGTTACGCATCCCCGCCTCCCCCGGGGGAAGGAGACGGGGTATGTGGGACTCTCTCCCCGAAACTGCTGTTCCGGGGAGCCTACCCACTAAAACCCCTGCGGGCGTACCTAACCCGGACATTTGGGGACCATCCGGGAATTTCACATCAGTAGTACTTCCGCGGATGGCCCCCTGAACTATACGTCATACGTATCCTATCTATATACATGAGGGTTTGCCGACGCCGGCGACACACCCTCCTTTTCTTTGGCCCCTCTCGTGGGAGCTGGGGACCCCCGTCCCCGTCTCCCAGGATCCTCCCCTCGAAGGGTCAGGAATTTCCTAACTCGGCCTTCGAGATTTCTTCCTACTTAAGCTACTGTCTGAGACCGTGGGCCCCGCTATTCGGTGCCCACGTCTGTCTCCTCCTGTGAGCCTTTTCAGGCATGAGGGCCGCGGGGAGGGGGTGCTAAGTTAGAGATGGAGAAGCTCCCTCCCCGCGGGATCGAGGTCCGTCGGTATGGACTTCTGACCGTCCTGCTATTCAGTCCGGACATCTCTCCTAGCTATGGAATATGTCCCCGTGTGGCCTTATTCTTAATTTCCTTTCCTGATGTTTCCCATTCCGAATCTATCTACCTAGTCTAATCCATCGCGGGGGTTTTCCAAAACCTGACTATGTTTTTGTTTGTATGCCTCCTTTCTAATTTGTTTGTTTCAAATCGCGGGTTATGAGTCCAGAGAGTCTGCTCTTTCCCTGAGCCTTTCCGCCTTTTTTTTTTGTTTGATAACTTTCTCGCAGAACTTTAATACTGCTTTCCTACTGCTCGTGTCTCCTCTCAGAGCTCTGATTATGGCTTTGAGGGAGAGATCTGCTCCTATCACTCTTTGCAGTTCTATTCTTTCTCCGTTCCACGCTGGGCAGTACCCCAACGTTGTTTCGCCGAATCGTTTAATGAATTGCAGTGCCAGCAATTTCGTGTGGCCTCCCTCCCGATTCGACACAGGTACCTCCCGAAGCATCCATGCCCCGTGAGGACCTGCGTCGTCCGGAAGGAGAGGCCCACCCCTGCGTTTAGCCAGTCTCTTAGTTGGCTATTTACCGCGCCTAATATGGTGTCTTCTTCCTGGGTGGATTCTTTTATCCATTCTTCCCAATTTCGAATCATTTTTCTCTTAGCGGATTCTCTGATTGTTTCCACTTCTTTTTTGTCTACCGGGTTGCCTCCTTTTTTCAGAATAGCTACCCTCTCATAGATCTCCTCGTAGCAGCTTGCTTCTAGCTCCCATGGTGGAACTCCTGCCAGGGCTGTATTGACCGCGTGCGAGGTTGGCCTGTACGCTTTGATTATCCTACCCGTGATTCTTCGTTGGGCCTCCCTTAGTATTTGGGTGACCTTTCTATTCTTGCTTATCGAGTGCGCCCATATTGGTGCTCCGTATAGGGCTATCGATTTGACGACATTATTGTACAATTTTCTAGCCCTATCATTCGGGCCCCCTAGGTTGGGTAATAGCCTGCTTAACGAGAGGGCTGATCCCTCTTTGTATTCTAGGTGCTAGCTCTGTGAAGTGTTCCGTGAATGTCCACTTGCTATCCAGTGTCAGCCCAAGGTATCTCATCTTTTGGCCTACCGAAATTTCCATTCCTGCTATGTTAATCGTAGCACTCGCTGGTCTTCCTTTTCTATGAAACCCTACGATTTCCGTCTTGGATGGGGCTATTTCTAGACCCATCCCCTCAATTTTTTGAATGACTGTGCCTGCTGCGAAGTTGGCCTCCATCGCGGCGTCATCCCAATCCTCGCCAGATACCAATATGAGCGTATCGTCCGCATAGCAAATAATGCAGCCTTCTTCTTTTTTATCCACTTTCTTCATAACGTCATCGAAACCGATATTCCACAGAAGTGGCCCTAGGATGGAGCCCTGTGGAACTCCTCGTTGAACGACTCTATCGCCCATGGTTCCGTCATTTCCTGGGAATGAAAGCTTCCTATCTTTCAGGTAGTCCCTGATAATCCTTCTCAGGTAGAGTGGAACTTTGTGCTTGTTCAGTGCCTTTCCTATCAGTTCCCATGGCATGGAGTTGAAGGCATTTTTTATGTCCAACGAAATTCCGATGACCACCTTTCCATCCTCGAACGCGTTGTCCATGTATTCCTTCGCGGTGGAGATTGCGTCAATCGTGGATCTCCCTCTTCTGAAGCCGAACTGTCTTTTGTGCAGGTTCGGTCCTCTGTTGTTTAGATGGGATATTATCCTTTCCGTTATGATTCTCTCTAACAGCTTTGCTTCATCGTCCAATAGACATATTGGACGATACCCCGCTGCCTGATCGTCTGGTTTATTATGTTTCCTGAGAAGCACTAGTTTTGCCATTTTCCACCTTGTTGGGAATCTATCGTGTCTTAAGCAAGCTGAGAACGTTTCCCTCAATTATTTGGCCATGTCCTTGGTCGCGATAGCCCATGCCTTCGCAGGTACTCCGCTTGGCCCTGGGGCCGCGTCTTTTTCTAGCATCTTTTTCGCAGCTAGCATCAGTTCCTTTTGGGATACCTTCATGTCATCCCTCCAGGCTGATTCTCCCTCGTTCGGTAGCCCTGGCTCCTTCCAATTATCTTCTCTCTCGCCTGGAAATAACCCAGTTAGCACCCGATCCAGTGTGTCACTGTTTAACGATTCAGTGAATGGTGGGGCCCATCTTCTCAGTTTATTAGTTACAGCCTTGTAAGGACGACCCCATGGGTCTTCATTCAGGGTTAGAACGAATTCCTCTCATGCTCTGGCTTTCGCTTTCCTTATGACTTTGCTGAAGGTGTCTCTGGCCTGTCTAAATTCGTTTAGTTTCACTTCGGTCTCCTCTTCGTTTAGAGCGTTTCTCCTTCTCCTCGCCCTTCTCAGTCTTCTCCGTGTAGCTGAGAGTTCGGACCTTAGCTGGTCTAATTCAGTGGACCACCATGGCACAGCTTTACGCATTTTAGCTTCACTCCTCGGCATGGCTATATTGCACGCCTCTATCATTATGCTCTGGACTCTGTCGGCCGTCCCTTCGATATCCTCTCCTATATCTTCTTCGGTCATGTAGTGCTTAGTCCAGCAGCTGGCTATAATTGCTGCTGACAGCATGTCCTTATCTAATTTTTTGACCGCCCATCTTTTTGTTTGAGGGGAGCGTTCCTTTGTTTTTTGCATCCTTGTTTTCCTGATCTCAATCTCTATATACATATGATCGGATCTGCTCTCCCGATCCGACACCTTCCATGAGAAAAGTCTTCTTGCTGCTACTGGAGTGGCAAAAGTGAGATCTACTATTGATTCTCCTGAATATCTCACACAGGTACTCTTTCCCCCGTGGTTTAAGCAGCAGAGGCCTAGCCGGCTTGCCCATTCTGCTACAGTCTTTCCGCGTAAATCCGTAGTCTTGGACTGCCACATGATATCTTTAGCATTAAAGTCTCCAAGTACAAACATTGGTGTATTGTCCATCTGTTGGATCAGTTCTTCCATCTCCTCGAGTGCTTCCTCGAATTGTCTTATGTTCAGACTAGGAGGAAGGTATACTCCAATTAGAACCATGTCACCCCATCGTATCGACGTGTGACACGCCATGTTGTAGTCTTTTTTTTTTTGTGACGCAGGGGAAATGCGTTACGCATCCCCGCCTCCCTCGGGGGAGAGAGGCGGGGTATGTGGGACTCTCTCCTCGAGGTTAGTCCCTCGGGGAGCCTACCCACTAAAACCCCTGCGGACGTGCCTAACCCGAAGCGAATGGGGCCCATCCGGGAGTTTCGCAGCAGTAGTACATCCGGATGGACCCCGCTTGTCTACTTGCGTAGCCTATCCCCTATTTACATGAGGGTGTAAGGACGCCGGCAACACATCCTCCTATCTTAACCCATCTCGTGGGAACCTCGGGCCCCCGCCCGAGGCTCCATGGGCCTATCCCGTGAGGGCCAGACTAAGTCTGGCAAGGCTTCACAGCCCTGCAGATCTCTCGTTGGTTTGCGAGACCAGCCGCCCCGCTAGTCGGTGCGGCTGTACGTCTCCTCCTATCGCCCAGGTTCGCTGGGTTAGGGCCACGGGGAGGGGGTATCTAAGTTAAAGATGGAGAAGATACCCCTCCCCGTGGTTTCGAGGTTTCCACCTCTCGCCGCCCCGCTATTCGGTGCGGCGTCCCCTCCTGCCTACCCTGCTTCATATCGCTAGTTCGCAAAACGCAGCGTAAATCTCCCCGTACTAACGTCAGGGCCACGGGGAGGGGTATCTAAGTTAAAGATGGAGAAGATACCCCTCCCCGCGGTGTCGGAACTCGTGCAGCACGAGCACGATTGAGTCCCTCACCGCACACGATACGGTGTCCCCTCCTGTGCCTGGTGTCCCTAACCATAATCTACTCGCGGTTATTTCATTCCCCTAGTCTATTCTTATCGCACCTTGAGCTGGTAGTCCAGCCGCCCTCTCTCTGTCCCTTTCGATGGCTTCTTTCCTGGTGATAACCGCTTCACAATACAACTCCAGGAAGGCTCTCCTCCCGTCTTCCCTTCTCAGGGCCGTAACGATCGCCCTCCAATCAAGGTTCTGCCCCACAACGTTCTGCAGCGCGCTCCTTTCTGTTGTCCAGGCTGGGCAGTATTGGAGTGTGTGCCTCGCCGAATCGACCTCGGCATCACAGCTCCAGCATTCTGTTGGCTTAAATGAAGCCGAAACGTACATGTAATTGGATAATTTATTGAATATATATTTACTTAATTGCGCACGAATTACTGCGATTTAGCTCTTAATTGCCCTTTATTCACTTTATTTTGTTAACTACCCACTAAAACCCCTGCGGGCGAACCTAACCCGAACGTCTGGGGTCCATCCGGGAATTTCACATCTGTAGTACTTCTGGATGGACCCCCATAACTATACGTAATCACGTAACCTAACCGATTATTTACATGAGGGTGGGTAGTCGCCGGCTACCCACCCTCCCTTGCCCTTTGCCCATCTCGAGGGGAACATGAACCCCCGTCCATGACCCCATGGGCCTTCCCTCGAAGGGCCAGTGGCAAAGCCGCTGACTCGGCCTTCGAGTTCTCTCCGCCATGCTGTAGTCTTTCTTTTTTTTTTTTGTGACGCAGGGGAAATGCGTTACGCATCCCCGCCTCCCCCGGGGGAGAGAGGCGGGGTATGTGGGACTCTCTCCTCGGGGCTGCTGCCTCGAGGAGCCTACCCACTAAAACCCCTGCGGGCGTACCTATCCCGGACATATGGGGCCCATCCGGGGATTTCACGACTGTAGTACTTCCGGATGGACCCCTGAACTATACTCTAATGCGTATCCTAACTATAATACATGAGGGTGGGTAGACGCCGGCTACTCACCCTCTCTTGCCGTGAGCTCATCTCGAGGGGGCCATGGACCCCCGTCCGAGTTTAACTCCCTATTTTATGCGCACCATTGAGACCGATGGCCCCGCTATTCGGTGCCATCGTTTGTCTCCTCCTAATTGTCCTTATGGACACGTGGGCCGCGGGGAGGGTAAACTAAGTTAAAGATGGAGAAGCCCCGTCCCCGCGGTATCGATGATCGTCTGTCGACAACATCTGGCCGACCCGCTAGTCGGTTCGGCCGTCCCACCTAGCACCGCAGGTAATACCTAGTTACCCCGCTTATCTACACCGGGAGGATAGCGCTCCTCTTCTCGTCTCTTGTCGGAATGGGCTAGTCCCGATTCCGGCTTTACCCTTTATTTCTCGCCTTATTTATACCCTTTGGTGATCTTTGTATCTGCCAGTTCTGCCTAGGTAGCCAGATCCCCTCTTTCTCTGGCCCTCTCTGCTACCTCCTTTCTGGTCATTACCTCTTCGCAAAAGGCCATGACCGCGTGCCTTTTCCCTTCTTCTATCATGGCCCTTATAACGGCCACTAATAACAGATCTGCTCCGATCTTCCTCCTTAGTTGTTCCCGCTCTGCATCCCATGCTGGGCAATAGCCAAGGGTGTGCCTCGCCGTATCGTTCGTTGAGTCACAATGCCAACACCTGTTTGTCGTCTCCCTTCCGATCCGACACAGGAACCTCCCAAAGCACCCATGCCCGGAGAGGACCTGCGTCGTCCGGAAGGTAAGACCCACCTCGGCCTCGACCCATTCCCTAAGCTGTACCTTTATAGCGCCTAGGACCGTTTCTCCTTCCTTTTCATGATGATCGATCCATTTCCTCCATTGAACTATTAGTTTTCTTCTTGCGATCTCCTTGATTGAGTCGGTTTCCTTCTTCTGAATAGGGTTGTTTATCGCCCTATTTCTCCTTATGCTCGAGATTCTTTCGTACACCTCTTCGCAGCTAATGGCCTGTAACTCCATTGGAGGGACGCCTGCCAGGGCCGTGTTGACGGCGAATGAACTGGTCTTATACGCCCTAACCAATCTGCCCGTTATCCTACGTTGAACCGCGCGAATTATCCTAATTATTTTTCTGTTCCTGAGCATTTCATTCGCCCATATTGGCGCCCCATATAACGTCATTGATGTGATGACGTTCACCGCCATGCTGTAGTCTTTTTTTTTGTGACCCAGGGGAAATGCGTTACGCATCCCCGCCTCTCCCGGGGGAGGGAGGCGGGGTATGTGGGACTCTCTCCCCGGGACTGCTGCCTCGGGGAGCCTACCCACTAAAACCTCTGCGGGCGTACCTAACCCGAACATTTGGGGTCCATCCGGGAATTTCACTCTGTAGTACTTCCGGATGGACCCCTGCACTATACGCTAGTGCGTATCCTAATCCTCTATATACATGAGGATGGGTAGACGCCGGCTACCCATCCTCTCTTGTCGCTAACCCATCACGCGGGGACCATGGACCCCCGTCCATGGCCCCATGGGTCTCCTCTCGAAGGGCCAAGGCGAGCCTTGACTCGGCCTCCGAGTTTACTCCCTACTTGTTACGCTTCCTTGAGATCGAAGCCCCCGCTAATCGGTGACCTCGTATATCTCCTCCTGTTGCCTCGAAGGCACGTGGGCCGCGGGG